GAACTTGCCCTGAATGTTTAGATCTAAAGTGATCAGGCTGCTTCAGCTTTAGTGCCTTGGCATTGCCATCTCTGCAGTTACCTTCTTTTTATAACCACTGAAAAACCAGTCTGTTTTGTTTTTGCCGTGGAGAGTGCTAGCAAGATATTGAAGAAAAGATGAGAAGTGTCTTGGCAGTGTCTTTCATTCTCCTTCCGTTGATTCACGTTAGTTAATCCTGTTCTAGACATACATGTGGCATGCAGAATGATGAAATACTATTAAAAGCATCCATATTGTGTATGGTTATAGAGAGAACACCTTAAACAGAAGACTGATGCCTCTCATTCAGGAAGTTGTTGAGCTATAGCTCAGCTCAGTAGTTGGGGAGAATAAACTGATGATGTACTGTCATTTTCATGGTCTTATACTCTTTCCTAGGCGTCTGTTACTGACCTGTTTTGATGATGAGATATTAGGTGAAATGAATGCTTTGACCCGGCCTAGCTGTTCTTGAAACAGAAGGCTGTTACTTTTTAAGTTGTTCGTTTGTGATTTTTTTTTTTAATTGCAGATTTTACTATTTCATCTTATTCAAATTTCCATTTCTTAACCTTTGTCACTTTACAGTCTAGCCTTCCTAATTGATGCTTAAACTAAACATACCATAGTAATAAATAATTAGTGGCTACTGTCACAAATTAAGTTGATAGCTTCATGTCAAAAAAAATTAAGCTAAATTAAGGGTAGCTTTTTCACTGGTATGCTCTAGAATTAAAGTTTTAAGAAAAGATAAAAAATGTGCCAAAATTCAAGCATGTATATGTAGGAAATTTGAAGACTTACGTTGTTCACTTTGATTTCTGTCAGGTTTATCCACTTCATGTCTATACTTTGACATACTGGGCTCTTATTTTTAGAATTTTTCCTGTTTTTCAAACTAAAGAAATATCATCTATTATACAGGTAACTAATTTGGAAAGTGGTTTTCAATATCCACATTCCAAAACTGTTTGACAAATTTGAACTTAATTGTGGAAGTGGGTAATCATCAAATATCAAGTTTCCAGTAACATTTTGAATTTATTTTGAAAATTCAATTGAGGAGTTACAATGATTATTGTAATTTAGTTTAGATATACTAATGACTTGGGGTGCTTTTATATCCATGTAAAATATCACCTTGTTACTGTTAGATCACCTAGCTCAACATAAAGAATTGATTATTTACTCTTCAAATGCTTATGCATGGAGGCTTAAGTTGAGTTGAAATTATGTGAAATTGCAGACAAATGCAATTTATTAAAAAAAACCCACAAATGAAACAACAACAAAAGAAAAAAAAAGAAAAAAAAACCCAATCAAAAAACCAGAGCCATTGTTTTCATAATCTGATTACAAAATTTCCCTAAGTTAGAACTAAATTACATGAATTCACTATTCTCTTCTAAACTTGGCAGGTAGCTTGTTTGCTGCCATATAAGCTGTTTTTAAATGACACCGCCAAACTGGAATTTGTAAAAGTTGGGTACCTAAATACTTCCAAAGATCTTAGTTTGGTCTTTGGAAGTGATCATAAATGGGCTCTATTACAATACTGATCACTTCCACAGCTGTGTAAAGGGGATGCTGACTAGACTACTTTGTATGTCTTTTCCTGGTAATGAACAGGAATGTAGTATGGTTGCTCAGAAGGAAATCAGAGTGAAACTTGACATTATGTTAAGGGGTGCTACTGAGGAGAGAATGAACATGTTTGTTGTCTAGAAGGTGGAGAACAGGAGAGTCTTCAGTCCGGTTGTACGGTCTCTAATAAGATGCTACAGGAAACAACCTTAACCTCCAGGCACTGTTTTCCCAGTCTATTCTTTTTTGCACAGCATCTCATAAAGGATGGTAGTTTTCCAATGCGTCCATCGACTCTTTTGTCAGTGCAGCTCCTTTTCTTAGTTGAATGCCTTGGCTAAAAAAAAGTTTAGATACATTCTTCATTTTCTGTAATGGGTCAGTGAGCGTATTAGGATGGGAATGACAAGTGGCAAAGCTTATTAAAACACTTCCAAGTATGCTTCGTGTTTGCAAAACTTACAGCAATGATAGATGTCTGCATTAAGATAATCCAAAATTAAGATTTGCATAATCAATCTGTACAGGGGCTGAGTTAATGTGGAAGAGTTAATAATGAGTGAGAGAGGCTGAATGCAAGTGTTGAAGGTGACAGGGAACACAAAGAAGCGAGAAAATTAAAGTAGATAGATCACGAATTAAGGAAATAGAGGGGAGGTAGCCATGACCAGGGAGCAGGATGTATAGCTGGTGGAATGAAAAGGCAGAGGAAAGTAGATTGAAGTTAGGAGTTTTTTTCTGAAAATCAAATAAGTTGAAGTTAAAGTGATTATAAATTTATTACCGTTTAATGTGTGTGTTGACTGTATGACCGAATAACTTTTCTTTTAACTGTAAAGGTTGGAACGGTCTCAGACAAGTGTAACAGCAAGGGTGTTCCTCATGTTGCTGATTAACATCAAACCTGAGCTAACAAGTTGCATAAAGTTTCTCAGTTTCCATAATTATCTGTCTTCTGTGGTTTATAATGTTTCTTTCCTAAAAGTTAAATGCTTATTTGAGACCATGTAAGATGTTTTGATAGAATTTAAGGCTGCAGAGAACTCTATGAACTTATGAATTTATTGTATAGAGAAACCTCTTAGCAGCATTCATTTAGTGAAAATGGTATGCATTTTTCTATTTATACAAAGATTAGTGAGCTTCTCTCTCAAAACTTGATTTCTGGCTGAATACAATGGGTGTTTTAGTGTCTTTTCATTCTGTGTGGTTTTGTTTTGCTAAAAACAAGAGGATTTTATTTCTCTTATTATGAGGAAATGTTCTGTCTTGATGAGAAAGCAGTATTTTCATAAGTAATTTAGAAGAATTTTTTAGGACTAGTGCTGGGTGTGATGTTTCACTTGAGGATCTGAAACTGAACATTTAAATACTGTGTAAAAACTAGTGGATTGTGATGTTACTCTGCGTTACACAGCTGAACAGATTTATCAGGTAGTTTGAGGAATAGTATAGGTGTTATGTTTTTCCTTAGCTCAAAACACTGTGTGGGTATTTGTGTTTCTAAATAGGAAAAGTTTTTTAAAAGTTACTCAAGTTGTAAAAACCCTAATCGTATATAGAATGAACTGTCTTCCCCCCACCCCCTGGAAATAGGTAGGCTAACTACTATTAGAAGCATGTTAGAAATATAATTTGACAATATCAGGATCTAGCAACACTTTTTTTCCTGGAAGATTTGTGTCTGGTGCTCCAATTTGGAGTTCTTCCTGCATTAAAAAAACATTTCTGCTGCTCTTCTGTGCCATACAATTTTACTGTTGCATTTCCTGGAAGTGTTCAAGGTCAGGTTGGATGGGGCTTTGAGTAACCTGGTCTAGTGGGAGGTGGGGATTTGAACTAGATGATCTTTAAGGTCCCTCCCAACCTAAACCATTCTATGATGGGAACAGTTTTATTAAAAAAACAAACAAACAAACAAACAAACAAAAAAAAAACCAGGAGGGATGGGGAAGTTCTGGGGCAATAATTCTTTGTGTTTTCTTGGGGAAGGGTTTATTTGATCAGTCTTGGGATATAATTCATTTAAATATTGTCACAGATATTTAGAAATCTGACATTCTCCCAGTTTTACTCCCTGCCTGTATCATTACACAGAATCACAGAATGGTCAGGGTTGGAAGGGACCTCTGGAGATCATCTAGTCCAACCAGGTTGCACAGGACGGCATCCAGGCGAGTTTTGAATGTCTCCAGAGTGGGAGACTCCACAACCTCTCTGGGCAGCCTGTTCCAGGGCTCCACTACCCTCAAAGTAAAGAAGTTCCTCCTCATGTTAAGATGGAACTTCCTATGTTCAAGCTTGTGCCCGTTACCCCTCGTCCTATCACTGGGCACCACTGAAAAAAGACTGTTCCCATCCCCCTGGCACCCTCCCTTTAAGTATTTGTAAGCATTAATAAGATCCCCCCTCAATTAACCTTAGTGTGGCTGGGCAGATATGCCAGGTCTCTTTGTTACAATCAATTTGAATTAATTTTCCGCAACTAACAGCAGTGCAGGGTCCCAGGTGCATGTGGGAGGAGGTGTGCTGCTTCCCAGGCTGATGTGGTGGCAGTGACCTGAGCTCTAAGTTCTTTCTTGTTTGGAAGCACAGGCAGAGCTGTTGGGTCGGTACATGCTGCTCAAATAGCCGTTCCTTCTGCACTTGGAGGGAAAGGCATGTCTGTAGCTTGCTGGGGTTCAAAAAGAAAGAGCTAGAGATCTCTAATGAGATGGATGAAAAATAAAATCAAGATTAAAAGATTTTGAGTTTTGAGGGAGTGATGGATGTAGTCCAGTAAGTACTAATTTCGGTCAGGTTTTGTTGTGGTTTTGTAACTTCCTCGGTATCTGAACCACATGTAGGTGTTGCGTTTTGGAGGGAAGGTTGAACACTGCTGCAGAACTCTTCCAACAAGCCTTAAGGAGCACATTAGAAGGATCTGTAGTGCATAGCTGTTCTGGACCAAATGCATTTTATTTACTTTCGGAGATCTTTACTGTGTATGTTTGCAGGTAATCAGAGCTGGTATATACATGCTTGGGTAACAAACTGTCATTTAAAATGCTGTTTTTCATGTTTTTAACTGTACCAAATTTAAACTTTCTCTATTTTGTTGTGTGCTGTAGCTCTGCAGCTTAAATAATACTAAAAGCTAGCTGAAAATGTTAAATTACTTTGTTTTAGATGAGCTGACCTGTATTTCTTCTAAACCTATTCATGAATTCTGAGAACTCATAACTAAAAAATATTCCAACTCAACTATTATTCATACTTTCCCTGCGATTATTTTTCATTGAAGGTGAACCTCTAAATCTGCTCAGCATGTTACTTTGAAATCACTAAGTTGTAAGTGTACATACACATGAGTATACGTAAAATACTGCAAAATTTGATTATCTTTCATAGGGAAATTTTTACCTTTGAAGACCATGTTAGGACCAAGATATGATGATCAGGTTGCTGAAGAAAATCGCTTTCATCCGAGTATGTTATCCAACTACTTAAAAAGTCTAAAGGTAAGGTTAAATTTTCTATTAATTAAAACATTACTTTCATTGTTAATGTTTATTCACATTCTGCTTTTCAGATTTAAGAAAAAAGGTGGTTGGCAGCTTCCTTTGAGACATCTGTACAGAGTATTCTTTTTTACATTTTCAGGTTTTCTCTGCAACTCATAAATTTCCAAAAGTACTTTATAGGCAAGAATTGTGCAAAATCCTGCAGCTCATTCACTGTATTAGCAACAAGAATCTCACTCTTCTCTGTTATTACTGTTGCATCTTGGAGAGATGTCATTGTCAAAATTCAGATAGTCTGAGTTGTAGTTTTACAAATGACTCTTGTGTATGGATATGTTAAGCTGCAATTTTGCTTATAGGAGTGAAAGCATTTAAAAAGCGTTTCTCCTTTTGATGCCTTGAATGCGTTGTGGTATCTAACTAGTCATATCCAAGGATGGAAGAAAACAATTTATGGATTTTATGCAGTAACTTCTTATTGGGAAAAAAAATATGCACAAATAGAAAAAAAAAAAATTAGGAGCATGGATCGAGACCCAAGAAGGTGAGTGAATGCCTTTATCATTGGGACAGGGAGTTCTGCTTCTGGCTTATTTCTTCATTCTCTGTTTAGCACATTTCTGTCTGTCTACTTCAATTTTCATGTTGTTCTGCACTGTAGCACAGCTTTGACATTAAAGGTGGGAAACAGGACCTTTCCATCCTTTCATGTAGTGTAGAGGTCTGTGAAATGCTGTGCCCAGTCCAGTGCATCTGGAGATGTGGGAAATGGGATTTTGAACCTCCCAGGCAAAACCAGACCTACAACTTAATTGTTATAATCTGTTTATTAAACTGTTATATAGAAGGTTAGCACCCTTTGTTTTTGACTGTATGTTTTATAAAACTAACACGCTAGAGACATTTTTTTAGTGTTTTTTTCTTTTTTTCAGTTGATCTAATTTAAAATAACTCTGAGCTTTTTTAACTATATCAGAGCCTAAACATAAGAAGAATCAGGTGACTAAAATGTGGAAATCTTCATTTTATGAATCTTATTTGAGCTTAGATATGAAGTAGATGGTGAGCTACTTGGTGTAGCAGTGATGGAGGTGTACCTGTGAGCTAATGTGATATGACAGTACTGTCAGTGAAGCATATGTGCCTGTTTCCAGGTGCTTGAACTGGTAGGATTTTTCTTGTTTGAATTCTTGGATCTATGTATCTAAATTCTACTTGAGTTCCTCTTTTATACATTATGTTGTTTTTGAGACTGATTGGCTTTAATAGACATACCTAGAAATTTTCCAAAACCAATCTTATTCATGGTTTAAAGTAATTTAAAATTCTGCATATATTTTGAAGTTATGTTACCGAAAGAGGCAGAAACAAACTTTCTAAGACTTAATTTAAGTTTAGAAAGCAGGCACTTCTTTTTTATGGTGCCGGATGCACAGGGGATCACTCCACCTAGTGTGCGTACTGAGTTGCTCCACTACGAAAATTATATACAATCAAAATATAAATATTCATCACATTTCCGAGAAATAATTAACATATTCACAGGATTTCCAAGAAATCATTAATATATGTAAATGTCCATGATGCATGTGCCTTCAGGTACACTGGTGGTCATCCATAGTCTTCCTTGCTGTGTCCACTGGTTGAACCCAATCCTTGCGCATGCTCAGCTTGGTCGCAGAGTCTTGCCCCCCCCCGCTTTAATCTTGGAACCTCCAGAAGATTTTCTCAGTTTACTAATGAGGCCTACAACTTGTCACTTTCTTGACAGGTACTTCAAAGCTACGTTGTTCAACAGTTAGTTCAGGTCATACTTAGTTACCAAATGCATATTATGGGTTTAATTTTCGTTGATTGGTCCCTTGATTATATATATATTACTATCAATACCCATATCCAAATAATCAATGGTTATTTCTATTAATATCTATTGATTTGGTTCTTGATATTTAAATCAAGATGGGAAGGGTAAGGGGGGTTTCTAAGCAGCATCACTGGTGCATAACAGGTTTCTATAGTTACTAGACTCAAATAAAACTTACCTATTCTATTCTTTGTTGTTTCGTCTGGGTTCTACTTGTTCCTTGATAGAGAACAATAATTACCTAGTGAGGGCTCTATGGTTACAAGTTTCAGAACACAGTGCTCTAACGTTCTACTTCTACTATAACCAAAATCTGGTGATTATACAACAGTTATAGAGAACTTCAGAGACTTACTCAGAACCAACATGAGAAGGACATGGACCTGTTGGAATGAGTCCAGATGGGGGCTACGAAGATGATCAGAGGACTGGAGCACCTCTCCTACGCAGACAGGCTGAGCGAGTTGGGGCTGTTCAGCCTGGAGAAGAGAAGACTCTGGGGAAACGTTATAGAAGCCTTCCAGTATCTAAAGGGGGCCTACAGGAAAGCTGGGGAGGGTCTCTCTATCAGGGAGTGTAGTGATAGGAAAAGGGGTAATGGTTTTAAACTGAAAGGTGGTAGATTTAGATTAGATATTAGGAAGAAATTCTTTACTGTGAGGGTGGTGAGACACTGGAACAGGTTGCTCAGGGAAGTTGTGGATGCCCCATCCCTGGAAGTGTTCAAGGCCAGGCTGGATGGGGCTTTGAGCAACCTGGTCTAGTGGGAGGTGTCCCTGCCCGTGGCAGGGGTGTTGGAACTAGATGATCTTTAAGGTCCCTTCCAACTCTAATCATTCTATGATTCTATGAAATGCAACATCCCAAACAGTTGGTGACACTTTGGGTCTGAAAATTATGTTTTAGTGTTCTGGATTTTACATGTCAGTCAGGAGACTGAAATCTGTAAATGAGTATGTTCGAAAGAGTAATTTCTAAAAGTTGAGGGGAAAAGCATGTGAGTATTTTTCAGGCTTGAAAGCTTTGACATAAAATTAATTTTTATGCTTGCATGGATCTTCTCAATGATAATTCTTCATTGCAGCAGGAGTTTGGAGGAGTTTGGAGGCTTCTGGTGGGAGCAGTTGAAGCTGCTGGTATTTGAGAACAGTGGGGTTGAGAATTGGCTTTGAATTTTCAACACTAAAATGGAATTTTCTGTCTCCTACCTTTGGATGGGAGGATGCGAAACTATGTTCTGCAAATCACTTGCATTTCTTCTTTTAGCGCTCCTTTAACAATTTGATACATGAAACAGTGTTACCTTTTAATGTGTCTTCATGCTTTTATTAAAGGTTGTTTTCCCTATGGTTCTTTTTCCCTTTCTCCAGACTATCAGATGATACAGCATTTTTTTCAAGAGTAATTCACATTTTGGAATGTCTTCTTTCTTACTAGACTAGAAGTGAATGCAAACCCCTTTACTTTGATTTAATGAAAATATAATTTTAATCTCATTTTGAAAATAGTTTTTTTTCCCCCTTAGCTGAGGACGTCTTGGAAGTGTTACACCTAACCCCATATTGTACATAAAAGAATAGGTTATCAAACTGAGCTATGTAGAAGTTGGGGAGGAGGGTAGTTAGGGGGCCATTTATGTGGCTTCGTAGTCTCGAGTTCTCTGGTGAGAACACACCTGATTCTCCTATCAGTTGTCTTGCTAACTCCTAACCATGCTCTTGATAGGATGCAGAACACAAAGGCAGATTCTTATGCTTTTTTGGGGGCATGGCATGTTACTGGAAGATATTCTCTGGATTCCCTCCATGGAGCCATTCCTTGTGTGGAACAGTAGAAAAATACGTAAATATTTTTCATAGAACTAGCTCATTTTAGATGTACTTTTCTATCCTAGCATGTTGTCCTTTTACAATCACCTAGAAGTACTGGTGTGGGAATGTGTCATTCTCCTCTGAACAGTTATTTTGAACTGGTTTATGTTGGTGTCGTAGTGTTATGGACCTACAGTGTGTAGCACCTGGAAATTTTATGTGGTCTTACTTGTGAATTAAGTAGTCTTTGAGATATTTGCTAAATGCTATTGTGAATGGAGGGGGATGAAAGTAATCATTGAATTAATTGCCTTTTATATACTTCCTACAAAATTACTCACTGGCTAGTATGCTGTCAGTTTGTACGTTTAGCATCTTGGTTGACACTAAATATTTGAAGTTTCAGATAATGTAACGTTGTTTTCAGGTGGACCCCTGCTGAAGTAGCTTGCATTTCTGCAAAACACTGTAATAAAAGTAAATAAAGCATTCTGAATAAAATAGACGAAGTAAACAAGGAGGAACTCAGAACTGATTTGGATGTTACACTACAAATGCTTAGTGCTGCTGACATAACATTATGATGCTTTTTAATATCTGATAAATAAATAAAAGTATTATAAAAGTATATCATCAGACCCTTGAATACCATGGATAACTAACTACCTTTGTAGATAATTGGAAATTTGCCTTTGGGGACTACTGAACAACATATCCATGTGAAGCAGCTGTTTCTGAACTGTATTCCAGTAATAACTGGAATTTATCTTTTCTGAATTGTCTGTAAACAGCATTTTAATTTGTAATTCTTTCAACTGTGCTGCTACATTATTTCCAGTCTGTTGACCGTAAGGTAAATAAAACCTGATCAAAATCCTGTTTATATGAGTATGTGCTGGACTTCTAGATGTATTGAAGATGCAGTGTTGTTCTATGTTTTTGCATGCGTAACATGCTTTGGTGTTAATGTATTTTTAAGTGCACTATTGATGTATTTTTAAAAAAGGCAGCGCTATGGAACAAGGATATTGCTTAACTACCGTCCTTAAAATGCCTTTTAAAAAGACATCTGGTTTCATGGTGAATGCGTGACATTCAGCGTTTTGATCAAAATCAATTACTCGCATTTATAAGGCAGGAAACCAGGAATGCTTTCAGTACACAGGTGTATTAGTGAGCTGGTTTTGCACGGTGCTACTGGGAGGTGTATTGCTGATGGAAATTTTGTTTGGATCAAGGATCAGTAGGATACACTTCACTGATGTTCTCTGTGTGTTGGATGCCACCCAGTGGAATTTCTCCTTTCCATCTTGCTTCTTAAAAACAGTAACTTCCACGAGGCTGCTTTGAAAGACCTATTTTACAGCTATAAAACCCAAACACTAATAAAGTAAGTTCCCGCACAAGGGGAGGCATTAGCGTCGAATGGGCAAGGCAGCCTGAACTGAGGTACAGCCTCACGTCTGGGTGGCTGAAACTACCACCTTAATTACTGACAGCGTCTTTGAAGATTTCAAGTTTTTTCACATTTCAGCTTTGAATAAAATGTTTCTAGGAATTTAAGGGAATTTTTGTTTTAAACTTCAAAATGTGTTTGTTTGTTTTGCAGCCTGATTTAATGGATGGGTAAATTAAGAGTTATTTCTGAGAGTATACTTGTGTATAAGTCTCAGTAGTTAATTTTTCTTATGGTATTTGCTCTGTGCCAGTGTTTACTAACTTAAAGCATAGAAGTACCCAATTCTACCTTATTTGTCTTTTAACATGTTAAAATGATTCTTTATCAGATTCTTTCCTGCTGTTATCAGGTTTTTCTTATTTAGAAACAATAGTGGGAGCAAACAAATTTTTGAATTGATGGCTAGTGTTAATTCAGACACCAGCTTTCACAAAGAAACACAGATGACTGTGATGGTGGTAAAATCAAATTTATATAGATTTTATGAAGAAATGCAATATTTAAGAATTTTTAAACTTGCAACTTTGGCCTGCTATTGCTTTTACTTCGGATGTTATTAGACATTTAGTATTTATGCACTGATATTTGAACCACATATATAAGGGTTTTTTTATTTCTTGTTTTGTTTTGGTTTTTTTTTAGGTTAAAATGGGTTTACTGGTAGACTTGACCAACACCACTAGATTCTATGATAGGAATGATATAGAGAAAGAGGGGATTAAATATATAAAGCTCCAGTGTAAAGGGTAAGTTGTCTGCACTTTGTTAGTATTTAGCTTTTAATTTGAAAGATCACACTGAAGTAATTAATCTTTTTTTCTCTTCCCTTTCCCCCAGCTGTCTCCTAACCTGTGTGTTCCTGTCTCTTTCAGGCATGGTGAGTGCCCTACACCTGAAAATACGGAGACATTTATCCGTGTATGTGAACACTTCAGTGATAAGAATCCCTCAGAGCTTATAGGTATGTCTTCTTATATCTATTTTACATCCATCATTAGTTTTTACTGTTAATTTGTTTTATATTTATTCATAACTACAGTCTCTTATTCTTAAAAGTCTAAGCAAAGGAATTCCTCAGTACAGTGCCTATGCCTGTATAGATTTGATTGCTTTTACTCCAGAAACTGGTATGTTTCTGTTTTTTTACAGGAACTAGTATACTACTATGTTTCTGCATCCATCAGTTTGATTACAGCTATTCACTTAGTGTGCAAAAATATTCAGGCTTAAGAACTGTCTACAAATACATGATACTTGCATTGTGTTTTTGTAACTTCTGCTGATACAAATACAGGTTATGTATTGGCTAAATATTGTTTTGGCATTTGATGGTCTGGCTTTTACTTGAAGCCATATTTGATAAGTGAATGATCAGAGATTCTTTAGCAAATCTCACAAAGCAGCTGATTAATTGCTGGAAACTGGTAGTAGATACTAGGCTGTTTTTCTTGTGGTGTACTGTCTCACAGTGAATATTTGAATGTTCTTAAGGATGGTTTTTTTTGTTTGGGTTTTTTTTTTTTACCCAGAGAAAAATAGGTTCTCAGTTTAATTTGGGTGGCTTTAGTTAAAACTATTTCATTCTGATTTCTGTTAAGCATATTAATGTTCAACTCCATCTGCAAACTGTCAGAGACAAGAAATTACTTTGCAGCTGAGTTTCCAGAGTCAGAAGAGGTGTTGATGATAATTCTGCAATCTTCCTGAATCTGAGTGTCTGTGTGACTTAAGAGTGTATGGAACAGTTGTTTGTGTTGGTGTCACTGGTAAGAGCTTGGTAGACTAAACTGGTATGTTCATACAGTTTAGGATTCATACAGAATCATAGAATTGTGCAATAGTTTTAGTTGTTGGAAGGAACCTGTGGAAATTATCTACTGAGCTGTGCTTACTTAGAGCAGGGCCAGCCAAAGCAGCTTGCTCAGGACTCTGCCTGTTTGGGTTTTGACCATCTCCACAGCATCTCCTGCAACCTCTTCCAGTGTTTGCTCACCCTTACAATATACACTTGGGTTATTTTTCTTACATTTAAACAAAATTTATTGTATTTCAGTTTGTATCCATTACTTCCTGTCCTGTCACATGATACCACTGAGAATATTTTTTTTTTTTCCAGTGCTTGGGAGATTTAATTTGGGCACGCGCTTTTTCACATAATTTTCTCTTAGGTACTTACTTATTTCTCTATTTCACATAGAATGCAATTTTAATTTGAGACGTGTTTTCTTCACTAAACTGTAACACAAGTATATGATATGAAAAATGAGGAACTGCTAAATGAGAGTCAGTGGTATCAGTCATCAGCAATATTTGAGAACTTGCACCAGAACTTGAAATATTGTCGATGACTGATCTCACTCACTCTCATTTAGCAGTTCCTTATTTCTCACTCTCATTTAGTGGTTCTTCCACTTGGTTCTCCAACAATATTTCAGAACTTGAAATATTGTTATGGTCAGCAATTTATATGGAACATGGGTAGCATGGATTATCCTATAAATAGCAGACCCATTTAACTGATATTTCAACTTTTAAAATGCCATTTTTAGTCAGTGGTATCAGTCATCAGCAATATTTCAGAACTTGCACCAGAACTTTAAAATGGCTTTTAAAATGCCATTTTTAATGTTGAGTCACTAATTTTTGACTTCTATGAATTTTGAATGTTCTTCCGTTATTTAGATTATTTTCTTCTTGACTCTAACTGACTTTTATTGCATAGAGGTGAAACGATGTGTTGATTAAGCTTTTACATAACCTGTGGTTTAGACTTTCATAGTGAAAGAGAAATGTTGGGATTTTTCGTTTCCCTTCCATGAGTTACTGAAAAGTTGTTTCTGGTTCTGGACACTTGTTTCCTCTGACAGATCATCAGAGGGACTGGCGTGGAGGAGACTGAAAGCAGTCTGCAGCGGTGATAGTACTGTACCCCATGTGATCTTTCCCTTCCAAGCCGTCGATCTCATTGCTGAGATGCTTCTTATCTTTGTCATGTGTATAAAATTATTGACTTAACCTTCTAGCAGCAGCAATAACAGCCGCAGGGCTTATTGATAGCAATTGAGTGCAATTTTATTTCCAGTGTCAAGATTAGATAAAATCATAGACTGAAATGTGACTCATAAGTGAACAAAATTTCCTATTCATGCCTCCTAGAACAATATAGAATAGAAACTTTATTTTTGCAATTTGAAGGACTGGAGTATGCCTGCCAACTTTAAGGAAACAAAATGCAAAAATTTTGCTTAAGCAGAAAACAAAGGAGAAATGATTGCTGGGAACAGATTCTATAAGGAAACTAAAATTCATTTCATTTTATGCATGTTACACAGTTTTTAATATTATTAAATGGGTAGACTGGATGAATCCAGTAAATTTGTAGTATTTTTTGCCTTGCTTTGTTAAGAAGGGAAGCTTGGGGGGTAGGCAGAAAACCCAACCCTGATACAGTTGATACGTGTATCTATTTACCCATATAAAGTTTCTGGTTTATATGAGTGTACTTTTTGTATGCATTTTTGGACCTCCAGTAAAAAAAAATAAATTCTTGCAGTCTAGAGGTGTGTATAGAAAAAAAGATAGATGTTCACATTTTGTCTGAATAAGCATCAAGTGAGTTGTTGCTAAACTTGTTTTACTAACTTTGGTAGAGAAATAAGGAAATGAATAAAAGATTAAGTGACTTGCTTCATGGTCATAACTGATTAATATTAAGAATAACTGTGCTTGGAGTTAGTGGAAACTTTAATACTGTGATATTTATGATTTAAAATGCAGTATGAGGAAGAGGCAACATCTTGTCTGAATCCTTCACCTTTTTAATAGCACAAATTTTTAGACTGGTTTGTTTATCACTAGATGGTGCTGTTGTCTTGAGAGGAAAAAAAAAAAGTTCCAATGGATTTGACTCTTCCCCTCCTTTCACTGAGGGATGAATTCAGTAAAATAGAGGCTACAGTCTTAATTCTTTTTTTTTACATCAAAAAGATAAGTAATTCAAGGTGATTATACTGTTGTATAGTTTTCTTTGTAGGTTTTTTTTTGTTTTGTTTTGTTTTTTTTTCAAAATTGGTAAGTGGTCTCAGCATGGTAATAGCACATTTGAAATAGAATTGTGATCTATTGACACTGCTTTCAAGTTTGAGGTAGGGTGATCTGGATATGTTTTTTATGCCTGATGGTGTGAAATGAATGTAATGCTTGTTGAATCCACTAAAAGCACAATTATTGAGTTTGATTGTATTGATTGTATTGTCTTCTGGTTAGCATTTGAGCAGTCATAAAAAATAATTTGAATCTTATCTGTGCTAGCCATATGTCAGCTGCATTAAAGTTAGTGCTCTTGAGTTGTGATAAACTGAAGTATCTTATACGCTTGTTGCGAATAATTTGTGGCAAGAATATAATAAATTGCTTTTCAGGCTTATGTGCCTTATGTGGTCTGAGCTGCCTTGATAGGAAAGGAGATAGCTCTTTAATGTTATTGATGAAGGTAGAAGGATCCACAAACACTTTTGTGAATCTAAAGCATGTTTATTAAAACTACTTGCAAATGATTATGTCCTTTTCTTGTCTTGTCTAGGTGTCCATTGCACACATGGTTTCAATAGAACTGGATTTCTGATCTGTGCCTTTTTGGTCGAGAAGTTGGACTGGAGGTAAGTGAATGTTAATTCCTAGGGATCTGTGGAGAGTGACCAAAGGATCTTCAGTATGTTTCACTCATTGTCCTGACAGCTATCCTAATGTATTCACTGTTTGTTATTTTAAAAACCGCCTACTAATCTTGACTGAGCAACCTATATTAACATTATTCATATCATCCCCTGGTAGTGTAGCCTGTCTCTGTCAAGCTTTCCAGGTCCAGTAGGTCAAAAGTCAGCTGTACCTGCTGTGTGTGGGCTTTTATTGTATTGTGTCTCTTCCCTGTGACATGTCCCACATTTTGGGTAAGAATATAGAGTTCAGAGATGCCTGAAAGATTATTTCTCTTACTTTTTTTCATGTAGGTTTGCATGTACGCTCTTTTGGTTTCTTGAGTTCTGAAGAGATGAGCTAGAGCAACAGCAGAGTGACATCCTTGCTTCTGAAGGGTCGGGGGGAGACAAAGTCCTTGTTTCCAGCTTGTTGTTTGACTAAAGTCTACAGTATGCTTCTGCACAGAGTCACCTGTTTTTTTTGTGATTTAAAAATGTTCTTCATAAAGAGTAGTGATCTTTTTTAAAAAACATCAGTGTAAAAAAAAAAAAAATAATTGCCTGTACCATGCTGGTGGGCATGACTTTTGCATGTTCAGTAGTATTCACAAAACACTATATCCTTGCTGACAGGGTCCCATGCAAGGCATGTTTCTTAACAAGCCCCTTAAGTGTTCTGATGATATTTCTTCTGTTGTCCTTTAAGTGAAGAAAATTCTACTCCTGTTGCTGCCTTTTTTTATGACTGGACATACAGTTTATTTGGTGCTTAGCAAGTGTGTGCAAGCTGTTTACAAAGAACTAGATCATTGTTGTCTGTTACTAAACTTGGAATATGACACAAACCTAGGAGGAGTGGCTGACACGCCAGAAGCCGTTCCCGCCATACAGCGTGACCTGGACAGGCTGGAGAGTTGGACAGAGAGAAACCTTATGAAATTCAACAAGGGCAAGTGTAGGGTACTGCATCTGAAGGAATAACCCCATGCATCAGTACAGGTTGGGGGCTGACCTCCTGGAGAGCAGCTCTGTGGAAAGAAACCTGGGAGTCCTGGTGGACAACAGGATGACCATGAGCCAGCAATGTGCCCTGGTGGCCAAGAAGGCGAATGGCATCCTGGGGTGCATCAAGAAGAGTGTGGCCAGCAGGTCGAGGGAGGTCATCCTCCCCCTCTACTCTGCCCTGGTGAGGCCACATCTGGAGTACTGCATCCAGTTCTGGGCTCCCCAGTTCAAGAAAGACAGGGATCTGCTATAGAGAGTCCAGCAAAGGTCTACAAAGATGTTTAGGGGATTAGAACATCTCTCACACGAGGAAAGACTGAGGGACTCAGGTCTCTTTAGTCTAGAGAAAAGAAGATTGAGGGGAGATCTTTTTAATGCTTACAAATACTTAAAGGGAGGGTGCCAGGGGGATGGGAACAGTCTTTTTTCAGTGGTGCCCTGTGATAGGACAAGAGGTGACGGGCAGAAACTTCCATCTTAACATGAGGAGGAACTTCTTTACTTTGAGGGTAGTGAAGCCCTGGAACAGGCTGCCCAGAGAGGTTTTGGAGTCTCCCACTCTGGACGTATTCAAAACCCGCCTGGATGCTGTCCTGTGCAACCTGTTGTAGGTGCCCCTGTTCTGGCAGGGGGGTTGGACTAGATGATCTCCAGAGGTCCCTTCCAACCCTGACCATTCTGTGTAATAAAGACATTGGAGTAATGGAGGCAGAACACTGTCAGTAGTGGATGGCTGAATCTTGACAGAATCTTAGCTGAGTAGAGGAAGTATACACAGGTACAGATATCTTTGTAGTATGATTCTAGTGTTCCTATGAACTTGCAAATTTGTATGCTATTAATCTAACCATTTAAAAGCAGCGTGCAATAATTAGACTCGGAATTGGTCCTTTGTTCTGAATAGGAAGTGCACTTGATTCTATGTGAAACTTCTGCTTCTATGTAGCCTGTCTGTATTTTCAAACCTCTGTGGGAAAAGCCTTAAAACTTAACAGCCGTGTCCTTTTTTTTATTTTTATTTAGGTAGTCAATTGTATCAGTTTTCATCTCTGTCAGATTATTTTAACAGAACACCCAGATATCACCTGGTAGGCAAAAACATCCACATCAAAAGAATGAATTTTGGCAAGGTGGTAGTTAGTGCTAAGCATTGTATCAAGGTAAATCCAATTTGCTGTATCATTCTTTAAAATAAGGCACTGTTACTGCTGATGAGGAAATAAGATTTTCCTGGTGGAAAAATCCATCCATATTCATTCCTTAAGCATATGATACAGGAGTGCTGCTGATGTATTGTGAATACTGAGATATATTTTATAGTTAGTTTAAAGAAAGGTCATCCAGACTGAAAGCTCTCCAGCTGGTGATCAGAAACCTTACTTGATTCTCTTTTTCACATTTTTCCCAGAGATCCTTATGTTTCTAGAACTTCCAAAATTATGTTTTCTTTCAGCTAGGTTTCTCTGCTTGAAATCTGTGCTGCCTCTTTTGGCTTTCATTGCCATCTATTCCAGAATAGTATAGAGTTCTTCTAATACCATCAGAGACAAATTTGAGCATCTTTCAGGACCCATCCCTTTTGCTTTGTTTTGGCCTTTCAATGGCACTGATTACAGAAGATGTGAAACAATTTAGAAAATATATCAAAATGAAAAATGTCTTGTGAAGAAGAAATTAGGAGTCTTAGAAAACTGAATGAGGAAGAAAGATCCTTCTACATAACTCAGATTCCTAAACTGTCGTTTCTGAGATCTGATGACCACCCGTCTGATAATCTCACTGATGAAAATGTTTTGTTTTCTGCTGTTACCAAAGATCAGAGGAGAGAACCAAACTTACTGGCTCTTAGGCAGTGTTTCTGTCTATTCTGGGAAATTTGCCCCAAAGTTTTCAGGCTCCTTCCTATACTGTATAGAGCAGACAAAAATGCCTTATGTATTTAAATTATTTTTTCTATTTTAGCTATGTTTTCCTTGTGCCAGTGGCAGGCTATTGTCTTATCTGAAAAAAAAAAAATTCTTTTCACAGCATGTAATATGTACTTTTGTTCCAGCTTTAAGATATGTGCTTGTCCAGAAGCCTTATGGGGACATGTACCTTTTGTGATTTCTCCTCTTTTATTTAGCAAGATTTCTAAAAGTTGATCTGTGGAGCATTACTGCTCTATGCAGCCATGATAAATTTAAGACAGAATTATGTCCAGTGCTTTCTGTTAAACATTTTTATAGGATCTATGAAAATAGCAACAATAAAACCCTTGTGCTGTGCTCGCTGTTGTATAGTTTGCATTGCTTTCCAGTGGGCTAGTAAAGGTGCATGACTGTTAGTTTTGGTTGCTGATTTTTTTGTGATCCAGCCTCCAGTTTATTAAAGTACTTTAAGTGTTAGCTGCATACTAAAAGGCTTCTGAATTGCATTTTTTTTATGAGAAACTTCCGGAAAGAGAAGTAATTTCAAAAGACTGGGATGCTTTTACTCAGTGTGATGGCAAAACCTCTAGTGAAAGGAAAGATAATTCCTAGGGGGAAAAATGTAGCCATAATTGAATTTCAACGCTTCATTTTTATTTCATTGAGTATGTTAGTCTTTTTCTTTGGTCTATTTTGTCTCATTCAGTCTTTAAGTACTTACCTACGTGTCACCTATTCCTTTTCTGTATCAATAATAAAAATTTTACCTAGGTGACCAGCAGACCACTATTAGCTACAATAAGGAGACGAAGCAGTGCAAACTACAGTTACTTCTGAGAACATATGCAGTGCCTACATTAATTATGCAGAATCTTGTGCAAGAGCAACTGTTGCCAAGGCATGATGCTTCAAATATGATGAATGTTTTTGCAATTACCAGTTTGCAATTTTTAAAAAACTTTTAGTCCAAATAAACCTTGTATTTGTTAAGGCATAACATGACTAAAACATGTAAATTAAGCATCCAGAGTAATCTTCAATTTTTATTTGACAGTATTGAGGCTGCTGTGGCTACTTTTGCTCAGGCTAGACCACCAGGTATTTATAAAGGTGACTATTTGAAGGAATTATTTCGTCGTTATGGAGATGAAGATGATGCACCATCGCCACCTGAGCTACCAGAATGGTGCTTTGATGAAGATGAGGAGGAAGAGGATGATAATGGTAAAACAGGAGGCCAAGAATCAGAACCTGGATCATCAAGCTCTTCCTTTGGCAAGAGGAGAAAAGAACGTCTAAAACTGGTATTTTTGATTAAGAACTTTATATTCTAATTTTAAACTTAATTTCATAAACTCATAGTTATCAGTTACTACATAATACGTACATAATACTATATAATACACAATATGAGTGTCAGTGCTCTGGCGAATGAGTATTGTCTTGAACCGGTAAAAACAAGTAGATACATTGCAAACTCTTGTGTTTCCTGTATGAACCTTGAACTTTAATGTTCATCACCTCAACTATTCCAGTTGTTACAATGACTTAAAATTTTTCTAATGTAACATTTTTTTTTTTTTAAGGTTGAATTGAGAAGGAAAGCGCTTTTTAATTTTTCTTTAGGGGGAAGTGTTATGGAGGAGGTGTGTAAACAGTTTTTATTTGGTTTTGTAGTCATGTGGATGAAATCCAGTGTTTTTTGAATTCAGTGTTCATTTTGGTGAATATTCTTACTTTTGAAAATTTTGAAAGATTGAGAATTGGGTTAGCAAAACATAAGATGAGCTTAAACCCCAAGGCAGCTGTGAAATTATATTTTGTTCAAAGCTGTTTAAACTGAGTAATGATAAGAAATATGGCTGAGCACTCACTCTGATTATTTTGACATAAATCTTCTTAATTCTGATGAAATAAGTTACTGTAGTTACTATAGTATGGAACTAATACTCAAATACAAAGAATATACTTGTGTTGTCTGAAGAGTAATGGCTCAGTTTTCTCCAAATTCCTAACTTTTTTTTATTTGAGGATAAAGTAGGGGAGAATATTGCTGAGTGGAAAAATAGATTCAGTTATTCTTGCATAATACTGAATTATTTTACTTGTGTGCTGAGGTGTGTGTTTGTTTGCAAACACTTGGAAGTCCTCATATGAAATATGCTGCAAAAACACATTTTGTTGTTATTGCAGCTGTTCAACATGGTTTACAGGTGAAGTATGGAAGAAATTAGCCTGAAAGGAATATGAAGAAGCAAGATAAACTCTGAAAACTTTAAAATAATCCATCGGCTGAAACAAAAAATTGTCTTCACTGTAAAAATCCATAGTAGAAATATATTCAGGGATATGGCTGCTACCTCCATTAGCCTTGCATTAAAACATTGATATCTAAAAAAATTTCTTTGGGCCAGTACCTCAAAACTATGTTGGTTGTGTTTTTTTTTTTTTTTTTTTTTAACTTGCCTTTTGAGGCATTAGCAAATGAGGTGTGATGGTGAGGTCCAATGTTGGCCTTTTTTTCAGCAAGTATAAAACTGAACTGGTCTATTTCACAGGAATCATGACACTGGCTTCCCAGTCTTTTTCTTAACTGCCAACATGGTTTTTTGAAAGCTGGAAGCTAAATTATACGAATAAGCATATTAATAACTAAAAGTTTATTATGAGTTAGATAATTAATGAAAGAAATAATCATCTAGTTAATATGCATATTCGTATAATTCAGTTTTGCAGCTCTGGAGGATCATTCTTTGACATGAAGAGGAGGAACGGGGAGAATTCTTTACCATGGTTCTTGGCTGGCAGATTGGACTGCTTCTTAACTGAGTAGAGATGGATACAATCTGTTTGTGATTCCTTGTAAATATGCGATCTACAGGGGGAATGATTATCAGGTAAATACCTCTTCCTCAGATTTTCTTAATTTACTGTCTGAAGGACTAAATTTTCAGCATTACAGCTGATTTCCTGCAGCAGATGTTTTCAGCATTCTAATATGACTCATCTTCTGAAAACCTAGGGGTAGTCAGTGTAAAACTAGAGGTGGCTGGTGCAATAGAGGTGTTCTGAAATGTTTTCATTTTGACCCAAATCTTTGTGGGGACAGAAGAAAAGCTTAGGCATAGAGGAGGAAACATCTCCCAGGCATCTTGCTCAAACAATGCATAGTCAGAAGCAAGTGGCCAGCTAGCCTGCAAAGTGAAATTAGCATGTTATCCATTTCAGAAATTCTCTCCTGGACGTGAGAAACTTCACTGCAGCATCTTTCACTAAAAATTCCGTATTTTAATGTCAAAAGGTCTTGGCAGCCTTTCTTTTCTATGCTACAGAAACTGTGGGAACAGTTCGAGTGTAATGCCATTAAAGTTTCCTTTGTTATCATGTGAGTGTAGTTGACATGCAGCAAGTCTGTTTGCTACAGCCTCGGATGCTACACAGGAAATCCAAACACATTTTGACTTTGTCAGTGCGTGCCATAATGATTCTAACATCAAAGCACGTTATTAGCTGACACTTAAAATCTCACCTCAGGAAAAAAAAAAATCATCAGGAAAAAAATACTTGATTTTGCAAATAGGACAAAAAGTTATAAATCTGAGTCAGAACCTTCAAACTTTTCACGGGTCAACCGGATCTTTTACTGTTTATTAAGGAGTGCCATCTGTTCTAGTCCGATGTAAGCTGCGTATTTCACAGGCAGTACAGGGTGTAATATGTAGTGCTTCTAAAATGGGTGGTTACATCTCAAACAATCTGGAAGAGATGGTAGCTGTTAATGATTTTCTTCATGATTTTGAGTGCATGTGTCTTGCGGTTATCTCCAAGAGGGAAACCACTAAACTTCGTGGTTGACACAGCGAGAAAAGTTATTATTTAACTATCAGAGTACTTTGATTCTAGCCATTAGTGACTTTGTTTTTCTCTGTCTAACCTACTTTTTTTTCCCCAAAGTTTAACCCCTATACTTATTATTCTGCCCATGGATGTGTCTTGGTGGATATGGGAAAAATACTATTTTCTGATTTTGCAGCAGCAGTTTGTGTACTTGAATACTGGTGTCATTTCCTTTCAGCCTTCTCCTTTTCCATGTTAAATGCCAATTTGTTCACTTTTTCCCTATAGTCCATATTTTTTTATATTTCTGATCATTCTTGTCATTCTTTATATTCCGTCATGTTGTCCCATGTTTTTCTGAGACTGTGGTGCCCATAATTGAACTCAATCCTCTAGTTGAGGCCATCTTAGTAGTTAATAGGGAGGAATTAATTTCAAGTGTCTTAAGGCTAATACCTCTGTTTATGTGTCTCAATATAATTGCTTTTACAGGACAGAATAATACTAATTCAGCTTTTGGTCTCTTACTGCCTCCCTATCTTTTTCCTCTGGTTATATACCAGTGTGTGTTTATATAATTGCTTATTCCTTATTAAGAGTAGAACTTTGGTTATACTGAATTGCACAGTGCTTTTTCCAGCCCATTCTTAAGGATAACTTGAATTCTTAAGCTACCGTCACAGTCTGTATCCTTGTTACTAAAATAAGTCACAAAAATAAGAATATGCCATGAGGAAATTTAAGGAAAATAAACTAATTCTCTTATACCTAAACTGGACTCCACAGATCCTCCTCAGTATATTCATCCATTTTGTTAGTGAAACACTGACTCCTCTGAATCTGGTTTTGAAACGGGTTGCTTTTCTCTTTTATAGAAGTTACATCTACCCCATGTTTTTTGTGTTCCTCTGTGAGAACAAGACAAGCAAACAAAAGACAAGGCAAGACAAAAGTCAGCATCAAAAGACTTGATATTTCTTGCTTCTCCCAATTCTATGAAGGCTGTTTCACCACCAAAACCAAATGATTAATTGAACACCACTGTTACTGAGTGTCAGTCAGTACGATTTGTTGCATCTTTTTCGCTTGTAAATACCTAGAGGCAGTACTTGTGATTTGATCCTGTATTTCTAGGTATTAAATCTAAGCTGATCAGTGTAACTCCTTGGCTCTCCCTTCCTCTCTTAGAAGATACAGACGCTCTTTCTACTTGATATGTTTTGGAATGTTTCTTGTCCTCTGGAAGGCATATTGGCACTCGGTGAAGTTTGAGTAGCTGAAGGTGGCTATCACCCAGGCCTGGTGATAGCCGCTAGGGTCAGGGAGGTGTGTGGTTGAGGTTATTTCCACCCACCCACTCCTCTAGATGGTGTTTGGGATCTGAACCAACACAAGATGATTCACATTGCCACTTTTCCTTCAGCTGAAATGATGGGTGGAGGGGGACGGTGAGGAGAGCTTGATTAGCACAGATGGCGTGAAGGTTGCGCAGAGTGTAGGTACTAAGTGCATGTAGTTACCTTGCATCTATTAGGGCTTATAACTCTTGGCTTAGTGGCAGTGCTGAGGACCTGAAGGACTCCTGCTGAGCTAAGTGCTCTAGCATCCCTGCACTGTGTTCTCCAGTATCCTGTTTCTGCGGGAGGTTGTTAGCTCAACAACGATGCAGAAATTGTGTGAATCTGGCTTGGTGTTGGCACCTTATCCAAGGAAATGTCCTCATGAAACCTGGAACACTGAGTTAGCCAAGCACGGATACCCAAGTGACTCACCTTGTTTTCATAGCGCTGTGCCTTAGCTAGTGAGTATACTTGAGGCCCGACCTTATTCTGTGAAAGCCTCTTCTGGTGTGTGTATGGCTATAGCGCTTCTTAAATTAGCGTGCTGATTGAAGTCACTGGATAACTGAGTTGATTATATTCTTAGGTCGTGGTAATCAAGTGAAATATTCTCTGCCTTTACTGTTTGTACAACTTCCTCTTCATCCTATGTCCTCAGGACTTTGCTTTGTTCCTGGCTCTCCCCAGTCCTCTTCTTTCAACTTGACAGCACTACAGAGAGGGATTACAAGGTGCCTAATCAGGGGAATGGAGAAGCCTGTATGAAAACACAAAAGCTTGGCTTGTTTATCACATTATAAGATGTACTTGTTTCCTTAATTCTTTCAAAATTGCCCCCCCAACATAATCATATATATATATGTATGTAATTATGTACATCAAGCACGTGCTGCCTGTGCAAGGGAACCTGTTATGTTTGGTCAGGTGTTTAAAATCAATAAACAATTAAAAGCTGTTACAATAAAGTAACTAACTAAGCAAAGTTACTAGAACCAAATCAGGATGCATAATTTCTATGTAACGAGAAGCTAATGTTTTGTAATTTTTAATAACTCATTCTAACTTTTTACCTTTTTAACCATATGGAGAATTTTCTAAATTGCTTAGACCATCATTCTTGCGATACTACTAATAAAATGCTGCAGAGGGCAGGTTTCAAAAGAGCATGTGTCCTGGTTGCGGCAGGGATGGGGTTAATTTCCCGAAGGAGCCGGCAGGGGGCAGGCATTCCATCCCACGGGACCCATGCCCGGGCTATAAGAGGCTGTAGCCGGGGAGGGGAGAGCAGTCGCCACTTGGGGGTGGGCTGTGGCGGTGCGGGTCCAGTTGGTGCGCTGCACGGTGGTACTGTAATCGCGTCTTCATATCTCTTTATTGCCGTTATCGTTTTGTTTTCATCTTCCCTTTTGCTGTTCTGTTAAATTGCACTATTTTAACCCACGAGTTTTGCCCTTTTGGTTTGTGTTTTTTTTTTTTTTTTTCCCCACGGCTGTGGGAGTGGAGTGAGCGGCTGTGTGGTTCTTTGTTGCCTGCTGAGGCCAAACCACAACAACTACATGCTCTGACATTAGTGGCTCCAAAACAGTTCTGTATGTGCATAACTCTCTTAATCAGATAATCTGCAAGAGAGACTTTCAAATGGCCGGCACCAGTTCCGTGTTTCTGACTTTTTCTTTTCTGGAAAATCTTTCCTGTTGCCTGTCTTTTGCTTTAATCTTAACGGTTATGGTGCTGTCGCAGTCTGCCATTATTCTGAGAAGGAAGGCACAACCATCTTCCCTTATTTTGTGGTGCTCTTAACCACTTACTTGGAATTCAGACAACATGCTGGCCAGGCATGTGTAGTGTCTGTGTCCCTCGCCCATTCACCTATGTGCTGTTGCACCTGCTGGTGCCCACATAAATAATATGGGATAAGTGATGCACCGAAAGTCTGTGGAGCTTGAGATAATTAAGGTTATAAACTAGCTTATTTCTTTAGGGTGTTCTGTCCTCAGAATATGATTTGGTGATGCAGCTGAGCCAATCTTAACTAAATGCAGGCTGTACTGAAAGCTGTGGCCCTGCTTTCCCGGCAGTCCTTGTGTTCCTTCTGCTTCCCTTGTGCTGGCACTAGTGCAGACTCATCCTATGGTGAGCTAGTTTAGAATACTACTTTGGCAGAAAATTACTAATTTATGATGTTTTTTTTGCCAAATTAATTCCTAGACTTGCTGAAGAGTAGAACAGATGAGTGTGTCAGTGTGTGGAAAGGGAAGGGAGCAGAAAGGCTCCTTTCATCAGTCATGTGCAGCTAGATTTGTTAAGGCAAGTTTCGAGCATTTTAGAGAACAGACACGAAATAGTTGTATCTTCATTTGCGGGATTCATAGCTCAACAGGTGGAAACTTCATGCTTTGATCTTCTTAGTCTGCATTGAGAATTTATTTGAGATGCTGGTGAAATAAGTCTAGTCGATTTGGGATTCCTGTAGAAGTCTTTAATTATGTAGCTTTGTAGACCTGGTGGCTTTATTGGGTTCTCTTGTGCAGAATTTGTTTTTATTCCACTTGGCATTAAACTTTTTCGTAGAATCATAGAATGGTTTAGGTTGGAAAGGACCTTGAGGATCATCGAGTTCCAGCCCCCCTGCCATAGGCAGGGACACCTCCCACTAGACCGGGTCGCCCAAGGGCACATCCAGCCTGGCTGTGAACACCCCCAGGGATGGGGCCTCAACAACCTCTCTGGGCAACCTGTTCCACTGCCTTACCACCCTGAAAGTGAAAACTTCTTCCTAATGTTTAATCTAAACCTGCCCTCTTCCAGTTTAAAGCCATTTTCTGGAATATGGAAGTTATTTTAGAGTTCTATTTTATTAATCTCTACTTAGGCTTTTCTGTGGCATCCAGGATAGCACCTCCACTTTAGTAACCTGGATTAGATTGAGAATAAAATTATGCAAGTAAATTTTTACACAAATATTTGTTACAAACCAGCTGTTTATGTTTTCTCTTTTGTTAAGAAGTTTGTCCTAGGTCAACTGCTGCTGCAGATTCTTGCAGATTCTTGAAATTGTTTTCCTTACAGTCTAAGTTTAATTCTTGAGACATATAACATGGTAGATCACCCAGGTGGAGGTGAAATCCATGTAACTGAACTTCTTGTACTGGAATTACCATCAAGGTCTGATAAAATTAACATATTTAATTGAAAACATGCATCTCAAAGGTTTTGAGGGAGAAAAATAGGACTTAATGTCTTCATCTGCTGAGATTTTAATTTAAAAAAAAAAACAAAAAACAAACCAACACCCAAAACTTTGTGTCTAAAGATGTTTACCAGTGACTTTAGTTCACTAATTACCAAGCTACATATGTTTATCTCACATGTTAGATCTCTGCTGTTAGTGAGCAGCTTTTGTTTCCATGAATCAAGGAAAGCACGGAATTGTTGGTCTAGAAATGCTATTTATGTATTTAAAAATTTGTTTAACATTCCATAGGTCAATTTTGTCCTCAGTTTCCAGTTTATTTATTTTGAGGCCATACTTTTTGACGCACTTAAAAAGTGATGTCACAAATGCTTCTTCCAGAAATGGTTTTGTGACCTTTAGTGTACACCGATGTACTCCAGACTTAAAATACTGTTTAGGTTCATATAATCATCCAAATAGATGTCTTATGCTACCTTATTATATAATATTTTGCATGCTAAGGAAGATTAATTTGATCTCTGCAAATTCCATATCTGACCAATATACTATTAAATACTTGATACTAGCATACTTTCTTTTTAAATAAAAGCATTTTAGTTACAAATGAAAAATAATGAGTCAGACTGATGCTGTAGCTTGACGTGGGATCTTTCTTGAGAGTAGTAGCTAAACAGTGCCTGTCTCTTGCCTTTAATTTTATTGTATTAATAATAATTTTATTATTATGAACCTCCTGGGTTCATAATATGTCTCACCAGTGAGTTTACTGGCAAAGCTCAGCTGATATATCTTGGTGTTTGGGGGAGAATCTTTTAGGAGTATTTAAGCTGGTATTGCTTGTGAAGGTCAAGCGTTGTAAAACCAGCTTTAATCTTGTATAAACATGTTTTGGTCTGCTTTTATGAAGGCTTAAATACTAAATTTTGTATTTTTTTTTTTATTTAGGGTGCAATTTTCTTGGAAGGAATAACAGTTAAATGTGTGACCCAGGTGACAACACAACCAAAGTTAGGAGGAATACAGCAAAAGTGTCAGCAGTTCTGTGGATGGGAAGGGTATGAGGACATTTAGAATTTGTTTATTTATATTGTCTAGAAATAAGTGTTATGTTTCTAGTTTTGCAAAAGGAAACAGCTCATTGTAAAAACAAAAAAGGTGACTGTTTTTGGATGGATTGTGTAAAACAAAAAGCAGGCCTCAAAAACACTCAACAGTGCAACAGATGAAAGTTTGCATTGTACTGTGAAATGGAATGATCAACTGTTGATGCTATGAAACAAGATTCTGGAACTGCTCCTCCATTGAGATAACAAAATGTTTTCAGATGAATTATTGCTGTGCAAATTCCAGACATAGTCTAGTCCAGGTATTTGTTTAAAATACAGTGCTTGCTCAAGCAGTATACTTATTTATGCAGCTGCTATAACCCTTTAGTCTTGAGGTATAATACTCATATTTGTAGACAACTTGGATTTATGTCCAATGTTAATGAGAACTTTGGTTTTAATGTCTGAGATTCTGAAGTCCTCCTTTCCAAAGCTGCTCACTGTGTTTCCTAACTTGCTGATGCTTGTAGTTCTTCTGGTGCTTGTAGTTTTGAATTCAAATATCTCTTCCACCAGACTTAAAACTTTGAAGTTCTACATAATTTTGTATTTTGTCATAAACAAATACACTCATTCTTATTAGGTAGGTATTTGGTTCCTCTTGCAAAATACCTTATTGGAGAAGGTGTTCTAACTCAAAGTTAACCTTGCAGCAAGTCTGGAACAAGGTGTGACTTCAGTCTAATGTAAAAAAATGTATTGCCTTGTGTGTCTATTTACTGCACAACGTTAATAAATGTGGTGTGTGTTTTTTTTTTTTTTTTTAAAGGTCTGGATTCCCTGGAGCACAGCCTGTTTCCATGGACAAGCAAAATATTAAATTTTTGGAGCAGAAGCCATACAAAGTTAGCTGGAAAGCAGACGGCACTCGGTAAGTTCATTTTAAATGAAAAAAACCACCAGGTAAATTGGGTAGACGGTTTGTATTTTCTGAGGAAAGTGAATTCATTTGTACAAAGGACAAAGCACATTCGAACAAAAAAAATTGACTCCAGAGATTAATTTTTTTTGCTGTCTTGGTACCCAACTTTTTCTGAAGTTTGTGGTCAAGTTTCTTTTTAGCAGCTGTTCAGTAGACTGATTGTTAAACATATGTACTTTTATTCTTCTCCATGACCCTTGCCTGTTTGTCAGCCAAGACTTGCCACCAAGGTCTTAGAAGAATCTGAGATAACAGTAGGAATTTTTTAAGCTAAAGAATTTGTTTATAAAAGCTAAATTAAAACTTCTAGTTGAACCTTCAGAAGCTGTGTAGCATTAGAAACTTCATAGTTGTGTGTGTGTGTGGTTTGTGTTTTTTTTTTTTTTTTTTTTTTTTTAAATTCGTACTGTGAGCCTTTATTCAAACTTGTAGTTCTGGTCAGCCAAAGAGTCAATAGTTTCATCTTCCCTAGCCATTTTCTTTGTAGGGTGGGTTTTTTTTTTTTTTTTTTTTTTTTTTTTGTACAACAGACTAGTTACATAACCTGATTGGATTGGTGTGTTGAACATCTTCAGCGTTTGTAGAATCACAGAATGGTTAGAGTTGGAAGGGACTTAAAGATCATAGAGTTCCAACCCCCCTGCCATGGGCAGGGACACCTCCCACTAGACCAGGTTGCTCAAAGCCCCATCCAACCTGGCCTTGAACACTTCCAGGGATGGAGTATCCGCAACTTCCCTGGGTAACCTGATCCAGTGTCTCGTGACCCTCATAAAGAATTTCTTCCTAATGTCTAATCTAAATCTACCATCTTTCAGTTTGACGCCATTACCCCTCATCCTATTGCTGTATGCCCTTGTAAAAAGTTCCCCTCCAGCTTTCTTGTAGGTCCCCTTCAAATACTGAAAGGCTGCTATAAGGTGTCCCCGGAGCTTTCTCTTCTCCAGGTGTAACAACCCCAACTCTCTCAGCCTGTCTTCATAGGAGAGGTGCTCCAGCCCTCTGATCATCTTCGTGGTCCTACTTTGGATCCACTCTCAACAGGTCCACATCCTTCTTGTGCTGAGGACTCCAAAGCTGGACACAATACTCCAGGTGGGGTTTCATGGAGTAGAGGGCCAGAATCGCCTCCCTTGACCTGCTGGCCATGCTACTTTTGATGCAGCCCAGGACGTGGTTGGATTTCTGGGCTGCAAGCATGAATTGCCAGCTCGTATTGAGTTTCTCATCCACCAGCACCTCCAAGTCCTTCTCCTCAGGGCTATTCTCAATCCATTCTCTGCCCAGCCTTTATTTGTGCATGGGGTTGCTCAATCCTGTGTGCAGGACCTTGCACTTGGCCTTGTGGAACTTCATGAGGTGTGCACAGGCCCACCTCTCGAGCCTGTCTAGGACCCTCTGGATGGCATCCCTTCCCTCCAGCATGTTGACCGCCCCACACAGCTTGGTGTTTGCAAACTTGCTGAGGGTGTACTCAATCCCACTGTCCGTGTCACTGACAAAGATGTTATATAGTACCGGTCGCATTGTTATTTCTGATTTGAAATGTGTGCTTGTATTTAATTTCTCCATGTTAACATTTCTCATGTTAGCATTTCTAAGTAGGAGAAAGACCATATGTCATCAAATACAGAATGGCAGGACACTTATTTCTCTGATTGTAAATGGTTATAGATTGGTCTGAACTGCATGAAATTCAGTTGTCTAAACATGTGCATCTAGTATCATCGCATATCCTTTCATTGCTTTCTCTCATCTGATAAAGCCATGTCACACAGCAGCTTGGATGAGGTATAGAAAGTATTTGCTATTCACATTGAAATAAACCCCCAAATGTTAGGTACCCCATTTCCTTGTACTCTTGCAAAGAGGCACTGTGGCTTTTCATACAAAAAACTCTTTCTTGAGTAAAATTCCAAACCTCCAATTCATACTTTTTTTCATAGGACAGAATAACTGAATGTTTTTAATAGGTTTTTACATTTTTTCAATTACAAGCATTTTCCTGAGGTTTTGAAATCATCGTTGGTGGGGACTGAGACTCTCACCTCCTATTTTTATTCTGTATTTCTGGTTTTAAAACTAAAATCAAGAATCCCAGATACTAATGGAAAAGGTTTTAACCTATGCTACTTATAGCATTCAGATCACAATCTTCCTTTTTGTTGTGGGAGCTATCTTTGGTAATTATTAATGTGATTTTTTACATCATAGTCAGTAGTGTCTTAGTAACAGAAGGACTTTAATCATGTGACACATCTCATTAATTTCAATAGCTTGATTTTTATTTCTAAAATATGTTCTTTACATACAGTAGTATTTAAGCAACTGTAATCTGCACTAAGTGCAGTGCCTTTAGGTTTTGTTCACTTAGAGCAAATTAATACATTTTTAACCTGCTGTGACTTGATCAGAAAAAGTGCAATTGCAATGAATGTACACATTGTAAGAGGACTCTTATGCTCATTTGTGCATAGTGCTTTAGACTAAGAAGAGAGTTCAGTGTTCTACGTGTGTACGGGTTAGAAGGTACCAGTTGTGTGGATGAGAAGTATGCTTTCAAAAAGAGGAAGTAAGAATTTTTGTTTTCAGACTGGTGAAGTTAAACCACTGTTGTTTTTTGTATAGATACGGGCAAAAGTTTTGTTTTAGCAGTGCAATGGAAAGCATTCTCCCTTCCATATGCTGAGATATCAAAGTAGAGTTTTGATACTAAATCAACAAACGGTGTAGGCTGTCGTCTTAACTTTTTCCTGCATTCTTTGTTTTGTTAGGCTTGCTGTCTTTAGTAATAGAGTGGAATATCCTAGGTAATGAAAAGCCTAGAAAATATGGGGAATTAGGTGTCTTATGAGAACTGCCAATTGGCTCCACATGGAGTCAGTCAGGATTCAGCACAGTTCAGTCAGACTGAGCTGTCTCCTGTAAAAAAGACCCTTAAGGTGTCTCTCATCTGTGGAGTTTGTACTTCAAGGCTTTACTAGCTTGGGCAGAGCGTGGTGTGAAAGTACAAATTAGGCTTGCACTCATCCAAGCGTTAAGAAATGGGTGGGAATATTTGGCTTATTAACATTGGCTGGCTGGATGCACAAGCACTTGGGTAACGCGGTGCAGGTGTTCCCAGGATGCGAGGTTACAGAAACATGGAGTTGGGAGATCCAGGCTTATTTTTAGAGCAGTACAGTGCATTCAAAAGCTGCTGAGCCTGAACAAGTAAACTCAGCCAACTTAAACTAACTATCCAAAGAGCCAGATGGAAGTCTTTGCATTTATTATGCTTTTAATCCACAGTCTAGATATACTGCCCATGGACTTGACTTGTAAAACTATGAAAATATGTTTACAAAGTATTAATGCCCTGTTCAGTGCAGATACTGGTCATGCTTGCCTGTTTTTACAACTTACTCCTTCAGGAAGCCTTTGTTTTAGGGATTGGTTTACACTAGTATTTTAGTCCATATTAAAGACCATCATGGAAATGGTTTTGTATAACTTAAGCCTATTGCTTCAAGAAACAGTAATAAGAGAAAATAATTCTGTTTTTAAAATAATATTTTTACAGAAGGCCATTTGATATTAAAGGAAAAAAACGGCTTCATCTGCAGCATCTCTAGTGTGTGTTGCCACCATGGGTCATTAGCTAATACACATTGGTATGTCTTCAAACAAATACTAAGATGCTGTAAAATTACAATTAGTGTGATTCTGTAGGGTTGTGAGCTATTTTTCCACATTTCTTTTTTTCGGTATCAAGAGCCTATCTTTGGCGAATCTTATGCTAATCACTTGGAAAATTGAAGTCTTATAGAATATTCTTATTTTCTTACTCAAATGTACAGGATGTATACATTCTAAATACTACTGAATAGTAGTACACCTGGAATACTGCCTTGTGAAAGAAATAAAAGTGCATGTTTTTTATAAGAATTTTCAGTATTTTGGACAGTCTGTCCTGTGTTTTTAGGGTTCTAGAATGGTGACAAAACAGAATGGATGAAGAATAAAACTGAGGTAACTAAATAGTTCTTTTAAATTTTCTCAAAACATAATAACCTGCAGTTGATTATGGAGATACACAGACTGATAGGTAGAGAAGAAAATGGTGCTACAAAGATCCAGTGTTAATGAAATTCAGCTGAAGGAATGTTGTGAAAGAGAGATTAAAGATGAAAACCTCAGCTATTACTTGGACATTTAGACACTGTGCATGCTAGCTACCCTAATCAACAATGAAAAATGACTATGGCAGTTTTTACATTGGACATGCTTCTAATTATTTTGTTGTTCTCCAACGATCCGGACTCCATATACAATTAAGCAGATTTTCATTAATTATTCTGAATGCTTGTGTTGACAGGCGTGACCTTACTGAATTTAATATTAAGACATCAGTTAGTGGAGATCCATTTATGGATCCTTTGCTTACTTTATCTGGAGATGAAACTGCTGTCATCAAATATCTCTGAAGCTATTCTGTTAAGTATGGTTTAGATGCAGCAGTCTAGGGTTTGCCTATTGCAATATTATTTGGCTTGCATACCTTTTTTTGTTGTTTTTGTTTTGTTCTCTCATGCTTAAAAAGACACTGCTGTTTCATCGACCTGATTGGACTTACAGAAAAGCAGATGCTCAGCTAATAACTTTACATTATACTTTCTCACTTAAATAAAATACTCGCGTCTCAGTTGATAGCAATATTTGCTCAACTTAGCCAAGCTTCTTAAATTTCACCATTGTTAAATATCTGCATTTTATTCCTGCAGCAGTAGTTTTCTCTAGAAGGTTCATGACTGAAGCCTTTATTTTTTGATGGTCTTAACTGACATGTAGTGTCAGTAATTTCATTGGGAACTTTACTTTTTTCCAAAGGCATTTGCTCTTCCTAGATTTCAGCTGGAGCTGAACTTTCACCCCTCTGGTTTAACAGCAGTGTTGCTGGTGGGTTTTTG